GGTTATTTTGTAAGAAAAAAAGGTGAACCAAACATACTGATGTAACTACTGATGCATGGCAAGAAGAATATGGCACAACATACCAGTCTCATATGAATTGGAAGTGTGAGGTCCATGGAATAATGGATTGTTGCCCACCTAGATATTTCAGCAAAATTAGTGATTTCTGCTTATTTACATTCTATGGTTAAGCATTTTCTATAGAAAATGCAGGAAATAGGAGGCATTTTGGATAGTTATTAAACAATATGCCTTATTCAGGAATTCATTCCCTCTCTTTTTCCCAAGGTGGTGACCCTCAGTATCTTGTGCAATGTGGTGAACAGTAGTGTATTTCCACTTATTACTAATAATGCCTAATTGTGATATTTGCATGTATTGTGATATGTGCGTGTGGGTCTGGTCTCTGGGTGTCTGTGTGAATTTCGTTGTATGTGTATACTATGTTTATAATTACAATGACAATACATTTATTTGTGTTTGTATTTATTAATTCAGCTTAGCATATACTCATTGAATACAATAAGGTCCTCCTTTTTGTGAACAATGTCCCCCCTCCTTGTCAGTGTTCCTCATCCCCCATATCCTCCTTTTTCTCTTTTTTTTTTAAGAGATAGAGCAGGAGGCCTCCGGTTTACTAAAGTTTTAGGGATACTGAGAGGGACTTCTAGAAGAGGCAGGAGAAGGGACAATAAAAAATAGGCAACATCAGCCACAGTTTGCTTGGTCATCTGCCATACAATTCACGGCTTTAGCAGTGACCCACAGCTAACATAAAACACAGCCTAGTGAGAAGGGAATTGCCTTCTCCTGTCTTTCCCCTCATTCAAAACCGCACACATTTTACCTATTCACTGCAGTTTTGTGGGAAGCGATGAAGAAGCCCTATATGGAGACTATACAGTAGTTCATTTCCCTCTTGACACAGTGACATGGAAAGCCTTTTGTGTTTCATGCTGGAGCTGTGCAAGTGGCCACAGGAGTGTTTGGCTCAAAGTCATTCCGTTTTACAACTGGTTTCACGTCCCCTGTCATCTTAGTTTCAAAGGGGAATCTGAACCAAGGTCTCTCGAATCCTGGTTGAATATTTTAAGCACTACACCAGACATGATCCTCTCAAAAGAGGACTACTAATTATAATTAATAACAATGGTTGTTAATAATTTCAGTATAAGCCACTGTATTATATAAATCATAAAAAATACAATGAAATTGTAATCTGACATATCTTCTGTTAGTAATTATATGTTTTAGAAACAACCCAGAAAAATTAAAGCCAGACCCTGTGAAACTGGAGAGGTATAAATTTTATCCACACAGTACAACAAAACCACACTTCTTCTAAAGAATATCTTTCTTCTTTAGTTCCACTGCATCACTAGACAGAGATATATACATACATTAGTCTTTTCACTAGCAAAGAGGATGGTATAGAAGAAAAGCTACAGTCTGAGAATTATTATAACCATGCATTTATTTAGCAACACGTATACAAACTGATTTTCAAACTCAAACAATATCCTGATGTTGATGGGGCAAAATAGTAGAGAGAATCTTACTTTCAAGCAGGGTCTGGCAGGGTGTTCTTCAAGAAGAATCCATTTTCTGTCTTATTGAAAGATGTTTGCCTATTGTTATTTGATACTTCATGTTTTCCTTACAAGAGGAACAGCCTGTGCTTCCTTATCTGTTCAGCCCCCAAAGATCCAACTATAAGGATATTTTACCTTCTCCAGCATTTGCCAAAGTATGGCAGTTAGCTTGATATTCTTGCCACAGGAAGTTAAAGGCTTCCAATCATTGGGAATGGGCCAAGTCACTGTTGCTTGGTGTGTTTCATTCAAACATAAAGACTAGGCAGATTTGCTAAACTAGATATGTAATAATAGGTAAGATTTTCATATGGATATTTTTTTAAACAACGGAAACTATTCACAAATTTGTGTATCGTCTTTATGCAGAGCTCATGTCAATCTCTGTATTGTTCCAATTTTTTGTGTTTGTGCCACTAAAGCAAACAAAGATCATGGAAACTTAATGAATTACTTGTCTTTCATTAATGCCAACCTTTGCTGAAGTGGTTAGTGTGTGCATCAAATTAGATATTCTCAAGACTTGGGGGTGGGTGAGTTAATTCACATTGTAGGTTTCCTTTATGGCCTCCAGTGCTTGCTCCTGTGATATATTTTTCCAATCCTCAGGTAGATCAGCTGGTTTGGCATTGTAACATCTGGCAAAGTCACAATTGAATTCTTTCAAAACAAACTTCCAGTAATCAGAAGCATTGATACTGGGATCTGGCTGAATACACCAGTCTGGATAGTAGTCACGATAATCTTTGTATGGATGCCACTCCCAGTCTGTATCCCAGTTTCGGAACGTGCTGTTGGAAACTACATCAGTGGAGCAAATAGAATGAACAAGCTCTTCAGAACTCTCGTTTCTGTATCTTCCTAGTCCTTGCGGACGATGGATGGCAGCAAAATGTTCCTTGTGAGCACTCCCGCCCGCTTCACAGGGGACTTTGCAGAAAGGACATTGCTTCCCACAGCCAAAGACTCGGTTGAAGAGCTCACATTGAGGCTTCACAGACAGGTTGGAGAGCTTGGATTTGATCTCGAGAGCTGCAAAATTGGACATTATCTGCGTTTGCAAATCAGGAAGGAATTTCCCAACCCAAGCGGAGAACTGACAAGGATCAAATGTGTTCTTAAACTGTATCCCCATTAAGTTGTCCTTAGAAATAACCAGCTCCTTCTGCATATGTTGGCAAAAGTTGTCTAAAAATTCTGATAACGTCTCAATGCTTTTATGCGTCATGCTTTCCATTGTTTCCCTAATCTTCTTTACTATATGAGAGACAATCTCTTTTTCTAGGTCCTTCAGATCATTTTCTGCATAATGATCCAAAATTTGCCCCTTTATCCACCCTTTAACAAATGTTTCATATTCCATGATATAATTTACAAACTTGTTGACATCCCTCTCCTCCAATAACTCCTTCAGGACACAAAACTGGAAGAAGCTTCGGCTAGCGTATCCAATACTTTGTGAACTGGTGAGAATGTCATTCACTATTTCTATCCCAAGCCTTTTGTTAATATAATCTACTATGGAAGGGTAGAGACAATGCTCACAGAAATCCTTGGCTCTGTTTTGCAGAGCATCTTTTTCTAAGTAAAGGTCTCTGAAAACAGAGAAATACTGAGGTCTCAGGTTTTCCAGCCGTACGTGAGGATCATTTTCCTTAATAAAATCGTCATGCATTTTCTGAAAGGAGTGAGTTGCTTCTCCTAAAATGTGAAGCTTTAGATCTATTTCAAAGCAAGCTGTTATATGCAGTTTTTGAACATCACTTTCTTGAAGCTTCTCATTGATCATATGTAAAAGTTCGACACAATAGGTCTCATCATAATCTCCTCTGCAACAGACCTTTTCATTGATGTATGAACTGCACAGGGTCATCAAAGATCTAGCAAGTTCCTCGGCTTTATGCCAACGGTCCTTTTTAGCAAAAAAATGTGTAACACGGTATATAATTGATGTCTCCAAATACTCAGGTTTCATTTGAAAGGTGCTTATCCTGTAGTTTAGCAAGCATTTTGCTTCCTGTACTTTTAGGTTAACTAAACTTCCCCGATGAGCTAACTCCTTTCTTAAAGATAACTCTATATCTGAAAGTATCTGCCGGTTTTCTAATGGAGTTGGTGAGATTGCTGACAATGTTTCTGCCCACATTCTTTCAAATTCTTTTTTCAACTCCTCATCTTCCAATCTATATTCATTTTTCCGACAGTCTTCAAGAAGTTTGTCCACCTTTCCTTCAAATATTTTCAGGTATTCAATTTGAAGAGTATCAATCTTGTGGCGACCCTTTTTAATACGAATAGCTTCTATGCATTTGGTAGAAGAATAATTTTCAAGTTCACGCTTGAGGCTGCTGGCACTCCTAATAAAATCTTCTTTGTACCTTTCCACCAAATGTAGATTTGCTGCTCCACTTTCAAAGTATTCCTCCAAGTGCTGGAGCATCCTCTGTTCTCCAGATGACAGCTTTGCTTGAAGGTCATTTTTCCAGTTGGAATGATCCAGTTCATCAAGGTCAACATTCTGGATCACAGTTTCCTGCTCAGATACCCAGAGGTGCATCTCTCTGCGGAAATGCCAGTCCCATTCAGAATATTTCATGGACAATTGGTTATAGGCTTCAGCTATGAGGCTATTGCGGAAGCTGAAGATGAAGTTCTCATGTTTCACAGCTCTCCACAAGCTTTTCACCCATTCAATAAACTGAGGGATATCCTTGGGAGGCCTTTTATGTGACCTATCCTTTATGAATTCAAAAAGGGACTTCTTTAATTCAAACACTTTTTCACTGTAGCCCCTATTAACTGGAGCCATTGGTGGGACTCCATGCCAAAGACCTGGGATATACCAATTGTGCATTTCTGGGTCATAGTCCATGATGTCTGAAAAC